CATCTACAGAAAAGACTATAAATCCTGTTTGGTAAAGATTAAATCAAGATTTTAAATTAAGTTCAAGCGAATAAATAAATTTGTGGTACCTTGAAACAGATGATTGAAATCCAGATAACTGTTCATTTGATTCTCTTTTAATACTAAAATCTCGATAAATGAATGTTCGATAAATTAATAATCTCGCTTAAATAATAAAAAATTTCGATCCTGATTTGTGCCAGTGTACTAAATTAATAACCTCGCTAATTACATAAAATAATAATTTCTTTGAGATTTTTTAAGGTCCAATGAATATATAAAATAATTACTTAAATTCATAAAATTTTATACTAATACAAATTAACAAACTTTTAATTTGATTAACATTTTTTTCGATTCATTTCTTTTCAAAGTACACATCTAAAGTCTTTTGCTTTTTCTTTGCACCCACATTGAACTCAATTCCGTCCTAAATTTTTTACATTGCACATTATATTACAACTGCTTAAAATGCCTCTTGTGGATTCTATAAAAATGAGTGAGAGAAAAATGAATTTTAAAAAATAAAATTCAAACAAAAATTTAGGGCTCGTTTGAGTTCCATTTTTTATTTTAATTGTTTTCAAAAAATGTATTTTGTAATAGTGTTATGAGGGAGAATTTGTGATTAAAAAATAAGAAATTTTTTTGAATTTGTACGTAATATTATTTTACTGAAGAATGTGTAGTTGAAATGCGGCAAATCACCGTTCAAAAATACATTTTGATAGGAAAAATGGGGTTCAAAGAAGGGCTAGTTCTCGATTCAATGTCCGAAACCGACCATTTTGATTTGGTCTAATGTGGATCGATTCGGCCATCTCTAGTGTAAAATGTGTAGCTGATCTTTCCACTTTGTCAAAAAAATGTTAAGCTTCAATTATGTCGGTTAGGGACCACTGACCACATATAGCCGGGCAAAGCTATTTCTTGACATATTCAAACACTTCAAGACTTTGTACACGATGAAGACCTCACAAGTCTATGCAAATTTCAAAATACTTACGGCAATTACATTAGAAGAGTTTGTGCATCACGGGATATTGTCAAATTCATACATAAATATAATTTATTTATGTAAAATGTTAATAAGAATTTTTTATAATTACATAATGTGATATTACATCTTAGTAAGGAGGTGTTTTAAGTCTCATTATTTTTTAAAATATATTTTGAAATAATATATTGATGGACAATGCGTGGTTAATAAAGAAGATTTTTTTTTTGATTTGCGTGTAATATTACTTTAATGAAAAATGTGTGATTGAAAAGAAAAGAAAAAATATATTCTAAAAAAATAAGAATCAAACATTCCTTAAATATTGGTTCTTCGTAAACAAAAAAATTGTCAACTTTTGCTAACACAGATTACGTGCTTAATTACTCGTACACGTGTATGGACCTCGGAGTGCCTCGAAGGTGGGGAATCTTGTTTGATATCCATTTTTTTTCAAATTACGAGCAACTCTAAATTTTTTTATTTATTTTTAGCCACACATTTTCTATCAATCTACTATTACAAAATGCATGCTATACTAAAAATGGGGCTAAAAAAGACACAAGCCCTTATTTGTTTTCCACTATTTTCAAAATATATTTTTCTCTTTCTTATTTTCAATCACACATTTTTTAATAAAAATAATATTATACGCAAACCCAGAAATTTTCTTTATTTTTTAACTATACATTCTCCATCAAATTATTATTCCAAATTGTATTTTTGGCTAAAAATTGGGCTCAAATAAGCTTTAAATATTTAGTCCCCGTTCATTTACTATTATTTCAAGTTTTTTTCT